ATCTCACAAGTCACCACCCATTCGTCACATAAAATGAAGAATAATGCTAGATGTATATTTTTCTCGACATTCTTTACGACGTAGAAGATATCTAAATAGTAATAGAGGGTGTTTGACACCCATTTTTTTAAGAATATAATTTTTGGAATGATGATTGGTGGGATAATATGTACTGGAAAAGTTTTAGGACGTGTTCGGTAGATATTAAAATCCAATTGAAATTGAAAATATAGCCATTATTAGGTCTCACTTGTCTAATAAAAGTCAACAATAACGGCTAATTTTTCAATTTTAATCAGATTTTAATTTTTACCAAACGTACTATTAGATTGTGTTTAATATTATTTTATTGAGAAAATGTATAGTTGAAATGAAAAATGAGATGAGAATGAATGTCAAACAGGGGCATAATATGATATTACAGTCAAAATCAATAAGGTAGATATAGCTACGTGGAAGAGAGTAAAATGAGCCTCTGTTTGAACTACATTAAAATTTTCATTCTCATTTTTCTATTCATTTTTAACCACACATTCTTCAATAAAATAATATTTTCCATCACATCATAACTCTTCCTCTTTTTTTAACCACACATTCTCCATCAATTTACTATTTCAAAATGCATTCTTTTAAAATAATGTGGTTCAAACACATCCTGAATTTGTTTTCTAACTTCTTTTGATTTGTCCTTATCATGGTCCTGGTCCCAAACGCAGCCCACGCTGTGAAATGATTAGACGCTTATGGACCTCCCTTAAAAGTCCACCGGAACAACACTTTCAAACCAATCTCATCTCAACCAGTAAAAGCACGCACTTTTCTCGTCAACCCGTTCCAAGGACACAAGAAAAAGTGAAAGTTTACTCCCATTGATGATCTTCACTGTTCGTACTTCGCACAAAAAGATAACTACTGTAAGTCTGTAACGAAAACAGTTCCGAGTGTTCTGTTATATACGGATTAGTGCAGTGTTTTTTGGGAACAAAATGCAAGATCCAAATTCCAAGCATTTTTCAGGGCCAATGAGGCCAGCCCACCACCGGAGGGCACATTCAGAGATGAACTTCCGGCTTCCGGAGGACCTGGATCTAGGGTCGGACACGTTTGACCCTCCTGCTGGAAGCTTTGAGGAAATGGGATCGGAGGACGATTTGTTTTCTACCTACATGGACATTGAGAAACTAAGTGCTGGTGGCGGATCTGGAATGGGAGACCATGTTTTCGAAAATGCTGGTGGTTCTGGTGGTGGGATGGCGACGAAAGGCGGCGGTGATGGGGAGAAGATTAGTGGAAATGGTGGTATAGCTAGGCATAGGCACAGGCATAGTAATTCGATGGATTCGAGTCTTCTTTTTGGTGAGAGCAGTATTGAAGCTAAAAAAGCAATGGCTCCTGATAAGCTTGCTGAGTTATGGAATCTTGATCCTAAACGTGCCAAAAGGTAGCCTTTTTACATTTTCAAATCTTTTTTTGCATAATGATTTATGGGTTTTATGTATAATTCTATTCCCGATTTAAATTCTTGATGTCGATGTTAATGAATTTATTCACATTTAAGAATGCACAGTGTTAAGAATAATAAAAGTCGAAAATGTTGTTTACTTTATTGCTGTCGCCGCGAATGGAACATGTCTTTATGGGATTGAAGAGATCTTGAAATGGATCTTTGTGAAAGTAGAGCTTGCTCAACTCAAGTTGACTGATATTGTTGTTTGCTCAATTATCTTAAGTATGCATTATTGAAAGAGTGGGGAGTTTTACTTTTTACTTTGGATTTTTTCAATAAAAAAATGATGGCCTTGGTTTAGCTTTGATTGATTTGTAAAGTGATTTATGTGGCAATTAAGGGAAGCATGAAAGGGATCTTAATTGATCATCACAATCATTGTATCTAAAAGCTTCCTTGGCAAGAATCAACACAAATAGTTTATAGTTGCAGTAAGAATGAATCAAGAGCAAGAATGTAGTCACTTTTAAGGATCATTGAACAAAAAAATCTGACTCAAACCCTCAAATCATATTGTATAAGAGGAGGTGATCACACTTTGGGGGCCACACCTGACATCCATTGATTTCTGAAAACATTTCATTCCTAAAAAAATTGATTTCCTTGGAATTTTCAGAAGAGGCATAAATAGAACAAAATAAGCCAAATTGTAATTTATCTGGAATAGGGCTTAGCTTATTCTGGAAAACTTAAACTTCTCCTATGTGATCCATTTTTTTCCTCTATCTTTTAAATGCCCGGAAAAGGTATAATATTTCTATTAAAAGGTAGGTTGGATTTATCTGGCTGCTATATGTTTTATTTCTGCAATTGTTTGTGAACTCAATATGCTACCGCACCATGAAAACTTTTAGTTTGGCTATGTTCCTATTTGTTGTTTTAGCATGCTCAAAGTTGGACGAGAATAAATTTATATTATCAGTTGACCCTTTTTTCCATTTCTTAAATAAATTTATGTTTCTAAATTAATATATAGGATCTTGGCCAATCGACAATCCGCTGCTCGGTCAAAAGAGAGAAAAGCCCGTTATATGTCTGAACTTGAGAGAAAAGTCCAGACTCTCCAAACTGAAGCAACCACTCTCTCTGCTCAATTGACACTGTTTCAGGTATTTCTTCAAGAACTTGCCTTTCAATTTGTAGACTTCAGCTCACTGTTTTAGCTATTCAGAGAACATGTTCTTAAGTTAGTGTGCATCAGATGGAAATGGTACTGCAAATTCAGATATTTGAGTTACATCCATATTCAAGTCACGTAGGAACAGCTATCCCTTTTTTTTTACTTCGATAGATATTTGATAGTGAGATTCGGTTACAGTATCTAGGGAAACACAAATAATGGAGCTCTCATAACTATACTGTCAACAAGCAATTTATTGTTTTAGTCTAGGTTTAAACGACCCTCTGTACCACTCCCTCGATCACAGTCCTGTCTCATGTCCTGCAGCCTCAGAAAATCAATCCTTCCACTTGGGTGCAACAAATATGCACAATGCACTTGTTTTTCTTTCAAAAGGTTTGCACTAAGTGCAAGTTAGATGCTCAACAAGTACATGTCATTAATGAATCAGCAAAAGAGTTGCAGCTGATTGTCATGTCAAGACGGAATTCTAGTTTGTTTTCGAAGTTGATAAAAAAGATTCAATGAAACTGAAACAGCGGACTGGTTGTTAAGACAGAAAGAAAAGAAACATAAGAAGAAAGATTCAATGAAACAGAAACAGAGGACTGGTTGTTAAGACAGAAAGAAAAGAAACATAAGAAGAAACTCCCTGAGCCTAGTATCTTTTACCCGATATATTTGTTATGTTTAACTAGAGAACTATAAAGATAAGGGAAGGAGGATCTCCACTGACAGAAGAATTGCCGGCCATAGTTTCTTCCAATTTCTGAAGCGAATGGAGTGGCCAAAAAGCATTCAAGTAGCCAACTCCATATTTGTCGGGAACGATGTTTAGTCCCTGTTTGAAAAAGCTTTTTGGAGATTATAAGCTGTCAAGCTTCATTTTTAACCACACAGTTCATTGCCACGACTTTTATCCACTTTTTGACCATGTTTTATGGGACCCACCAGCTTATAATTTCTAAAAGCTTTGTCATTCGAAAAATACCAAGCCTTTCTCAATGTATGACAATTCTATTGTATGTTACCTGGCATATCCTTGCCATAGAAAAGTTGGAAGTTATTTTCCTTTAGATTTGTTTCCTTTAGCAATGCTTTCTTATTTTAATTATCGCTTTCCTTTGTAGAGAGATACAACAGGGCTGAGTAATGAGAACACAGAGCTTCATCTTCGGTTGCAGGCCATGGAGCAACAAGCTCAGTTACGTGATGGTAAGTGAAAATTGGTTTATTGTTACATTAGATTGTTAAATAATTGAACGATTGATTTTGATTCCCCAATCTCAAAAAATTGGATGCTGTAAATAAAAATCCCCACATCTTTCTAAAAAATTATTGTGTTTATACTACTCTAAAGAGCTATTATAGTATCGGACATCATTAACGATATCGACAAGCAGGAATGCAATCCCTGTTTGCTCTAGCAATTTAGAGATGAAAACAGATTTGCAAAAGAATTTTCCAGTTTCTACTTGATATTTGTCGATTAATGGATTATATTTGAAACATTTACCTTTCTGATATCAACTCCAAGTTTACATATATGATGCAGCGCTGAACGAAGCGTTGAAGCAAGAAGTAGAAAGACTCAGAATTGCCACAGGAGAAATATCAGCCCCTTCAGATGCATACGACTTGACAATGCAACATATTCAATATAACCAGTCCGCTTTCTTTTCTCATCAGCTTCAATCCAGGCCAAATGATGCCCAGAATGTTCAGATGCCACAATTTCATCCTCTTCATGCTGCCATGTCAAATAATCCACACCCTATGCTTTCTGCTGCTCGTACACAGGGTACTTCTGATGCATTCCAGCAGGATCCTCTTGGCCGTTTTCAGGGCCTTGACATCAGTAGCCGTGGATCTCATATTGTGAAATCAGAAGGCCCTTCTGTTTCAGCAAGTGAAAGCACAAGTACATTCTGATTCATGTCTTTTCTGATTTGTGCATTTTGCCCCAACCGGACCAACCCGATTTGTTTGTTCATAGACTGACCATGTTTAACATCCAGAATCACCAAGATTCCTAATTTTTATTTTTTTTTCATTTAACCGGGGTCTTAGGTTTCATTAGCTTTGTTAGGTTTGGTATTCATTGTCATATGCATTGGCAGTATTATTTCTTGTTTTTTCCTCGAGACATTGTTACTTCAACTCGAGATCACATATTGTGAAGGAATTCATCTCATGGCTTGGGATGGAAGGTTATCATTGTGGTGTTGACAGTTTCACTTATCATGTGAAGCTTCTCGAATACAGCATATTTTGTCATTTATTGATCGAGGGAGAACTCGATCTGCTAATTCATAATGTCAAAGGGTGTAATGAGACATGCACGTCATTTTGTCTTCGTTAACAGAAACTCTTATGTTGTAAAGCATCAGTATTTTTAATGTCATATTCTTTTGAATATTTCTTACCTTTACTTGCAGCAAAACCCATTCAACTTTCTGCCAGTCTCTAAAACAGGCTTAGTTTATTGCAGTTCCATATTCATGGAAACTAAATTTATAGGTATAATAAGATTTAATCTTCATTGACAAATTGCGAGTATACAGGTTTATTGTTATCTGAGTTTGCCAGATGCCATTCTCTGTTTTATCGAACCACCTCGTATAAACTTTTCAACTGGTAGAGTTTTCAACACGCTCTCTCACGAGCAAGTCAATTTTAATTTTTCGTAGAGATATAGCACATGTATAATTTTCATAAATGGGTGACATGAACTTTTCTTTTTCGAGCTTTTGAAACCACTTAAATGTGCAACTATTTTGTGATTGCCCAGACCACCTCCATATGTTGAGACTTCTGCAAATTGACAGACGAGCAAGTCTCTTGTTTTTCGCGCTAGTAACGTGTCTACTACTAGAAACATCACTTTCTGTTAAACTTGCTCGTGTTAAGCATGCTTAGGTTTTTTGGATTGCTGCACATTCAGTTGTTTTTGATTGTGAAATAGAGTACTTGGGTTCTTCCAATAACTAAAGTGTAACGTGTTTGAATGTAATTGGGACTCGTAGTGGGTAATGTCAATTTTCGTTTTGAGGATCTAACTTTATGAGATTTATAGTTACCTTACTCGTAGTTTCTCCATTCATAAGCAAAGTGGAATAGTAATAGTACCAAATCGATCATTTTGCCATAAATGTGCTCGTCATGGCACCCAAAGTAGTATCTAGATCAATAATAATAGTCCAATCATACTATATTTCGGAGTTGCTCTATTCGAGAAACTCTTGGACCAGACTTCATTCTACAGGGGGGGACCTATTTATTTATATGATTTTACTTTGGATAATTATATTAACATCGTAATTTTTTTGTTTGCTGCACCACATTATAATTGCAACGATGGTCTCTAATATTTGTTCATTGTTGCACTTGTGTCCATCCCTTTTTCGCAATTTTATCTTCAACCTTTCGTAAATTAGATTTTTGCAAAAAACAAAACTGTTAAAAGGACATAAAAGATTTATATGCCCCTCGTATATTAAACAAGTTAAAATTACAAATACAGAAGTTGAACAAAATATTTGCTACTTATTTCTAAGCATGGTAATAGAATATGTGGATAGAAATCGTCAATAGAAATAATATGTGCTAATTAATTGAAGGTTAATAATAAGAATACGACAAAAAAAAAAGAGTTAAGGAAATAAATACAATAACGAGAAAATATTGAAAACCTTCATTACGATTTTAGTATTGTGTTGCAAGCAAAAACAATAATGCAAATATTATTACATTTTTACTATTATAGATACTCCACGTG